CAGGAACCCAGACCCTTCCTGTACAGATCTCACCTACTGCCCCATCTGCTAAAATCTCCACTCATCGAGACCTACCGTTTTCAGAGTAGCTGGGGAGGTTTGGACTGGAAGCAAGAGATCGTCCTAACCCACAGGAGTAAAAGATGTGACAATACATGCCTACAATGCCTTTGTGGAGGATAGATAGTTCCAGTCAATAGGAACAGGAGCAAGTCACCCTGGGAAATGCAGTGAACTTTGTTGACCCAGTAATCATGGGAATCGATAGCCAAGAAAACCAAGAGTTTTCTCAAGGGGTGCTATTAGCATGGATAGACAGGGTTCTGCGTTTGTGTGACATACCGTGACATTAGTAATGAGTGGCGGGGAAGCATAGGTCAGCACCGAGGAGGGTCCCACCACTGTGTAACTGGGGCAAACGGGCTGCACATACATGTCAGCTGAGTAAGGGCAGCTGACAGCCTCGTGGGACACATACTCCGTGTAGGGTGTCCATGGAGTCAAGGGCTGGAGGGTGGCCGGGGCAGGTTGGGAGAGCCAGCCAGCACACAATGTCCCCTCCTCTGTCACTGTGGAAGCAGAAACCTCCATGTCAAGGCAGGAAGGACCTGTCGAGAAAAAGGAAACGATAGAACTGCAGGCTCCTCCAGAGAGGGTCCCCACAGATACCAAGGCTTCAGAGAAGAGCTCTTACCCACTGTGCTGTAGGTTGCCAGGGGCTGGTGGGGCAGCACCACCTAGAAAGGGACAAGAAGACCAGAATGGGCATTGATTTATCTCTAGCAAGCCCTCTCTCTGTAGGGACTCCCAGGGACCCAGAGTAGGAGACTCATAGGGGGAAATCTCCCACCCCATACCCCAACCATCACCACCGGCATTCTTTGAGGGATTTATGTTTCGATTTAGCAAGAAGGCTATGCAATTAGAGAAATTTCCTGAATCCCCAACTCATACCATGGTGCGTACCATTGGCTCCCTCAAGCCTCATCAACAGGTATTTCCCCCCAAACAGATAAAAGCAAGAAGGACCGCTATTTCCCTCACCACCCTGAGGAACCACCCGCTTAGCTCACCCAGGGTCATCTGCTGTGTTCATGCACCATGAATGTTGCATGAACACTCTCGTCTTACCTCTCTGGTCACTCTGACAAGTCCAACTGCACACACACACACACACACACACACACACACACACACACACACCCCTGCGGATACACTGCCCCCACAACAGCCCCTCACCGCAGTAGGTGGGCCAGCTGCCCCATTGCTGGCATGGCCACGCTTTCTCCTCAGTAACTCCTTCACTGGCTCCTTGACTCGAACACCCTGGTATGGCCGTGGTGGGGCAGGAGCTTGCTCTGGAGCTGTGGCTGTAAAGAGGAAGATCACTGGAACCCCTGGCCCTTCTCAGATGCCCCCAACCACAAGTGCCCATTTCTTCTAACGCCCAACTCTCTACGTTGTACTTAACACGGCAAATCTTGGTGAGGCTTGCTAGAATATTTCTTCCAAGACTCCTTCTGCCCCCAAACTTTCTGGGGCTCTATTATATTCAAATAATTAAACCCTGTCCCCTTTGTCTAAAAGTGACAGGGCTTCCCACAGAACCCCATTTTTCTGACCCTTTTGCATGATACATGAACTGGCTCCAACAAGAAGGCCTTGTTACACTCCTCAGCATCCCCAGGAGATTTCACCTCCCTCTCTTCACTGCTGTTTCTGAGAACCAGAATTCTGATTCTGGGGCTACTTCTCTGACGCCTGCAGACCATGAAATTCCTGTACCCCATCTCCAACACATCTAGACTGGCACTCACATAAGTGACAGTAAAGAATGACAACCAGACCAAGCACTCTTGAGTCAGGTATAGCTGAATTCAGATCCCATCTCAGTCACAGTCTAGCATGTGGTCCTATGAAGTAATTCAATTTCTCCAAGCCTCTTAACCTGTAGCTTCTTATCAGATGAATGTTGGTCAGAGTAACATGGTGTGATACATAAAAAATAGGTTTATGTGTCATATAAAATCAGTTACGGAACAATCATTTAGCAAAGAGGATTTTGCTTGTTTTCTTGTCTCTTTGGGTTATTGGTGCTGTGGATATAACCTAGAGCCTTGTACCTGCTAGAGAAGTGTTCTACCACCGAGCTGTACTGTCTTCCTCCCAAATTCAATATATTTACTGCCTGCTAGATAACGATTGGTTATTTTTGTCTGTATGAGTTTAAAAATGTTTCCAACATGATTATAAACTTCTCAAGATATTGTGCCTCATCATTTCTGCCTCCCCAAGTGGCAGACATGCCTAAGCTCTCTATAATCTTGGTCCTGGCTGCTTGTTATAATCATCTGAGTGATGTTTTCAAATATACTTCTTTTATTATCCTCTTACCTCTCCTGGACATTTAGAGTTAATGGACTGAGAAAAGCATGTGTCTGTCAGGTCCTTGGTGATTCTCAGAACACGAGACAATGCTGATCCATGTGTCCTAGAAGCTGTGTCCACCTTGCTTCTGGGAGAATGTTTCCTTTTCCTATTCTCAAAATATCCAAGAATCCAAAGCATCAACAAAACCCGAGTCGGGGCATAGGGTTTTCCCTTGCCTGGAAGATCAGAGACAACCTATGCATGCAGATGAAAAGGCCCATGGAAGGCAGGCCAAGCTCTCGGTCATCCAAGATCAAGAAGCAATGGCCTCTGGGACTCACACAAGGAGCCCATTATCCTTCAAAGATAAGGGCCCAGGGACCCAGGCTTTGTATCAAAGGCCCGGAAGCCTGGGTATCTGTTCAACCCGGATGCACTGGGCTGCCTTGACTGAACTTTGTTCGGTAAACACCCAGCTGATACTGATAACAACGTGTGCTTCACTCTGCCCAAGACTTCCCACAAGGCTCTTAGGCGATCAGCACCAGCATGGTCTGGTCTTGAAAACCAGGAGGCAAAGAAGTCCTACATGGTCAGCCAGTGGGGTGGAAATGAGTTTCAGAGGCAGACAGTAAGAGAACCCCGCTCCTCAGACTAGGCGTCAGACCTATCTATGCTATGGTTTCCTAACTGATCATGGAGAAGAATCAACTAGAAAATGGTGTGTGTGTGAGGGTGAGTGAGTGCGTGCGTGTGTGCGTGCATGGGGGGGGGGTATCAGATAAAGAAAGCAATGAAACACCTACCAATGAGATGAGAGGTTTGGGCTGACATAAGAGTGTATACCATGAAGAGCCAGCATAGCATTTGTGCCCCGAGACCACTGCCATCTTTGTTCAAAACAGCAATGACAACAGACTTAAGGGCCCAAAATAGCTGCATTCAAATATGGGCTGTCACTTATTAGTAGAAAATTCCCAGATTTATGAAATGACTCTAGGCCTCCGTTTCCTTATCTGTAAAATGGAGAGACGTTTTTAACTTCTCAGTGACGTGCCTTTAGCCCCCAATCTTCCTTCTGACTGAATTCTCCTGCATGAGTGCTGCTTGCACACCTCGTCTGCAGAGTCCTGCTGAGCGCTCCCCACAGACGGAAGTGTGTAGGACTGCCAGGAGAGACAGGACAGGCACCTCTGCCTTTGCTTCATTCTGCTATCTCCTCAGCTTTCCTCACAGACATGTCGCTCAGTCTCTGCGGACCTCCGCTAAGGTTCCCTTCCACTCCTCCGGCGCAGAGCCTCACCTGAGCTGTTGTGCTCCCAGAATAAATAATGAGGGTTGGGTCCCAGGCGGGAGAAGGTCTAAGTACTATGGCCACCCTCTGAATTCAGCTGGGGGACACTACACATAACACCTCAGCCCAAATCAGAGACAGGAATGTGTTCCAGGTAGCTCTGATTTGCATGGACAGTTCTGGGAAAGGGCTTAGAGGGCTCCAGGTCCCGTTCCTTCTCTGGTTCTACTTCATCTCTGGAACTGGACACACCGTGCACTTGGCTAGAAAAGGACTGGCCGGGCACTTCCAGATCTTGTGAAGTCGGGATTTCCTGGCCCCTGTTGCTTTAAAATCTAAGAACCTGGAAAGCTTTGGGGAGATGCTGCGAAGACAGTGCACTGCCTTTTAATGTCTCATCATCTCTGGGACACGCAGAATTAACAGATGTGTCCTGGCAGACCGTAAAAGTCCTGGTCTAGTACAGCTGGGGTGCTCCCACAGCCCTGGGTTTGCAGCCAGCTTATAAGGAATCTGGTAACTGATGCCATCTGAGCAGGCAAGAGTGGGGTTGTTTCTGAGGTGTCTCTGCTGAGCTCCGTGAGACATCAGAAGCCAAAGCATCAAGATGTCCCCCTAGGAAACTCAATGCACAAGGATACTTGTAAATTGCAACCTGCAGTTGAGGCCTTTCACACTAATCTAGGGAAAGTAACCATCGGCGTAATCCCCCAGTAAACACTGTGATCTCAATGTCGCCAGCACCAGAGCTGAGCTCACTATGGAAATTCGGAATGGAAATTCAATATGGAAAGACTTTGTCCAAAGTCACAGCTACCTTGGCTTGGGGCTGCTGAGTCCTTGAACTAATCTAACTTTCCAATGACTGCGCTGAAATAGCTCGTGACTTTTTCAAAAAAATATTAACGTAATCTAAAATGGCAATTATTAAAAATAGTATCTGAAGAAAATAAAGTAGAGATTGAAACAATACTGTATCGGCAGAGACGAGGAAAGCCTGGATTGGCGCTAACTAGAGAGTTTAACAATTCGTCAGTCAAACTGCCGCTCTGGGTAACACACTAGGAAAGCCTGAAACTTTCTCAGCATTCCTCTAGCGGTGTGAAGACCCCTGGAGCTTCTGTGAGCTTGAAAGAATCCACCACAGTGGAAACCAGTCTATCTGAACATGAACCTCTGGGAATCTCTTTGCACAGAGTTCACCACACTGACTTTCTTTCCCATTGGCCACCGGTTGCCCTTGGTATTCTAGGGAGGAAAAAAATGTTTTAAAAATCTAATGGACAGGAAACCCACACATCTGATCACAGGGAGAGCTTCCTTTTTTCAAAACTAGTAGTGTGAACAGTCAGCAGGGGGTGTTGCGCTTCCCCTGCCACACACACACCCAGACCACTACACGTCACAAAAAGAAGAGTCCTGCGGCTGCCATTCCACCTGGAGGTGCACAGCACGGTAGTTTGAAGCCAACAAGTCACATCCCACAGTCCCCGGATGCACACTGGCACCAATGCTCACGCTCCACCAAGCTGAGAGAATACAGGTTTCTGCTGAGCTACATAAGCATGGCACTCTGGTTTTCTCAATGACAGCACAATAAAATCTCACTAAGGAAATATGCAAAATCATCAGCACCTATTTATTTAATAATCTTATGCAAACCACAGCGCACGTACTACTCAACTAAAGAGCCAGTCGCCAGGTCTTAGTCGTCAGTAACCTGTCTTTCAGTATAGCTTTTAAAGAACCCATGTGGGATAGGTGCTGCCTGAGAAAAAATCCTTGCCTCCGCCATTGAGATTCCCCTTGGGTCGCCAGGCCAAGCAGCAGACTGGACAATTAAGAGCTCTGCCTAAAAACTCTGTAATATATAGGTCAAACACGAATTTACACCACCAGGGAGCCATAGAACAGGCGTCTTCACAGCTATAGGAACATTTCTGTCCCAGCCTGACAGGCGGTTCAGGCTTCAGTTGGAAAGTTGAACCTCAAGGCTACAGCCACGGCGGCCACTTGGAAAGATAAAAGCCACCTAGATGGAAGGTCACAGGACACACACTATCACTTAAGGCGCTGTCTGAATCACTCCCAACGACCACTGTGAATGTTTTCTTTCGCTGCTGGTGTTCAATATCATCCAAAAGAAAACAGAGCTCATTAAGGTGAAGGACAACTCATGCTCTCTCTGTGTTTGTAGCAAAACCAAAACAAATAATTCAACAATAGGACTGCAAGCCTGGGGCTAGCGGACTTGCCCTAGCTTCTACTGAAAACAAACTCTGAAAAGTTGCTGACACTTTAACGTGAAGAGTCTTGTTTGTCTTGGTGGCCCGAGACAGCTGAGGTCTTCTGGGAAGCCTGAGATCGGGTAGGCCACGGGCTCGTTCACAGCCCCTACTGAAACGCGACTGCAGGTGCTCTTCTTAGCGTGAAGCTCACCACCGAAGTTTTCAAAGTCGCTGTTTTCATTTATGGACAATGGCTGATTTTTTTTTTTCTAAACAGGAAGAAAGACTTTGTTCTTTGGTCAGAGGGACTTGACATACTACAGAAAGATTTTCCCTCCCAATTCACACAAAATTTCCTTTTTTAAAAAAAAAATGTAAGCCAACAAAGCGTTGCTGTGTATATGTAAATGTGGGCTTTCTAGTCACTAATGCTTGAACCAGGAGAGTCCACAGAGGAGAACAATAAACATTCCATTTATACATTCTAGCAATCTATGTCATATTCAAGACGGAAAGGAAAATAGAGAGTGTGAAAAGGGGCAAGGGCCGGGGACATGACTGTATAAAAGTTATCTAGAAGATCTGAGAGAAGATAGGTAGAACTATACTTGAGTTATGATATGATATTGCTTGTAAGGCTGCTAGTGCAGCCAGGGAGCAAACAATGAGAGGTCTCTATCATGAGATCCCAAAAATGGTGGTTGGGTCTGGCTAAGTCAGAGAAGAGGAAGCAATCAGTGGTTTTCTTGCACTCCCTGAGACGACCCCACCCCCAAGAAACCACGTTCCTTCCCCATTGGTCCTGCAGTGTCCAGTCATCAGCCACAGGTGAGCCCACTGGGGAAAGGAGGAGGAGTCACTAAGAAAGCCCTCAAACTTGGAGAGGGAAAAAGGCCCCTGGGAAACAACACAGGTGATGAGTAGCCACCTGGTGCTGTCTGATGCAATCTAAGGTGACTGTGGTCAAGGACGCCAGACCTCAGACCAAAGTTATCCAATAAGGACAACATGCTGTCTCAAGAAAGTCATAGAGACCACAGCATGGGCCACCAAGCGTGACCCCGACAGGCGTTCCTCTCATTGCATTAGATGGAAAAAGAAAACCCATTTATGTTCATACCAGCTTCTGCCTAGGGTGCTTCTTCATGGAGACTTTGAATTACAGGTAGCCCACCCCATGACCTCAGGCAAAGTCAGTCAGGGGCCTCTGGCATGGAGTCTTCTGGGTGGCGAGGTTTCCTCAATTTCTCTTCACTAACACCACCGCACACTTGGTGCCCACTGTGCCTTCCACGCCACCTGTCCACCCTCTTTCCAAACCCACTGTGGAATAGCCAGGTACAGAAAGCTGTGGCAGACATCTTTGTATGCACACCTACTTGATGCTGAATGAAGGGGGGCGCAGTAGTCTGTGTGTTTCCAGGTCATAATCTGAACTCCCGGAAACCCTGAAATTCTCACCTACATTTTCATGAAGTTCTGTGGTGTGGTTCTCAGAGCCTCTGACAGAAACAATGTTATGGGGGGCTGCACTACAACCTCTGAAACAAACAAGAGATATAGTTGATACTCTCCTCCCCTTCTTCGAGTGATGAAGAGGGTGACGCCTTCGATATGTTCAATGGATTGTCCAATGGCTGCATTTATCAGGAACAGTGTCATCAAGCAAATCAAGACCTGATCCCAACATAGCCCATTTTTTCCTCACCACACACCCTCCTCTTGTCACTAACTGCCCCATTTTTCTCTCTATGTAGCATTGAAGGTCAGTCACCTAAAGGTCCTGGAGTCAATCCTAGCCTTCCTTCCTCTAGTTGGAATATTGGCTTGAACCATGTGACCTGTCTCTCTTGATGACCAATTCTCCAAAAAAAAAAAAAAATGGTGGTTTCCAGGTGACAGAGCCCTCCACAAGAAACTTGTCAAAAGTCTGCTCACATGAGGAGTGACAAGAACTGAGAGACTCAATTCCTGGCAAGGTTTTATTTTGGGTATTTTTCTACTGAAATGACAGCAGCTAAGTCCACCTGAGAAACCAGCTGCATCTGCCTGCCTTTTATAGAAACTAGGGTCATCAGAGCAGAAAGGGTTCCTATCTCAGATATACCACGTCTCTGATCCTGGGTCAAGACCAAGAGACATCTGGTAGACCATTTATCTGGCAGATACTTGTTGAGCGGATCAGACTAGGTCCTGGCCCTCGGGGAACTTGCCAGCTACTCAGGTGGGATACGCAGACTTTAATAAAATAATCACATAAGCAAATCTCGAATTGCAAACTGTGATGAAGCTATATCCGTTTCAGAACTGCAGTGTTCTGACTTCTGCTTCCACCTGATTCAGTAAGGCTTGAATGGGCAGCAAGCTGTCTCTGGGGACGGTATGGAGAGAAGAGAGGCAAGAGGCGTGACAGGCAGTTCTCTCTCCGGCTAGAGACTGACCCGGGGTCAATGGCTTGGGCCTTATCATAAGTATGAGTAAGAGAATGAGTCTCAGTCAAGATACTCAAAGTGATAGACCCTCGGGATGTTGCCCCAACTGCTGTCTGCCCTTGGGTGATTAGCCTAGGAGAAGAACAGCCCCATCTAGACTCAGTCTCAAGTGTTAACTTCTTTTCATTTTCCTCATGTGTGCATGTCTGTGAAGGATCCGGGGATGAATATGTGTGTATAGATACACATGAAGGCCAGAGTTCAACCTACATGTCATCTACGGGAGTAGTTTTTCTTTTTAAGGTGGGAGCTCTCACTGCCCTAGAACTTACTGACTCAGCTAGACTGACTAACCAAAGGATCCCATCTTGCTTCCTAGCACTGGGATGAGAGGCACATGCCACCATGCCAGTTCTGGGGATCAAATTCAGTACTCATACTAGCATGGCAAGAACCTTGACAACCAAACTATCTCCCCAGACCTTGTGTGTCACTTTCTGAGACTCAAATTTGCAGTGATTGTTTTTTTTTTTTTTTTGAGTCAGTGTAGAGCTACCCTTGACGAAATCATTGCCCACCCCCATCTGGGGTGGACCTATTTCAACTGAAACAGGAAGAAAAGTCTAGTGTCATGCAAAGTTCCTTTGCCCTGAGATACAGGGTGGTACTCATTAGGACCTGGCAGACCTAGCGTGGAAGCTTGCTACCGTGGTTTATTACCTGTGTGACCCTCAGCAAGTAACTTAGTTGTGTAAGCCTCAGTTTCTCCACCTGTGAAATGAGAACAATACTGTCTGTTTAAAAGGGCTGTGAAGATTATGTATGCACTGACGTGTGGCGTATAACAGGTGCCAAGCAAAAAGTCGCTATCACCCGCCTTACCTTGTTGCCTACTGAGACTAAATGTCTGAGCATACCCAGGACCCTGCTACCTACAAAACCTGTCTCACTTTGTCTTTATCATTCTCCTGGATGTCATCTTCAACTACCTGGGCGTAAAGCCCCCAAGGAAAGCTTTATTGAGGAGACAGAGATGCCAAGGATAGAAAGGGATTGACCAAAGACCTCACTGAAAGACAACAACCTTAAACAGGAGAGAAAAACCTGGCATTGGCTTTTGTAAAATTATATAAGCAAAGCATATTTCTGTCTTCAAAAGCCACTAGACAATTGGGCTGGCAGCCTATTTAAGGATTTTTTAAAGCTGCCTCTGAGAGGAAACACCTTGAATACGTTTGAGTGCTAGTAATTAGGTAAGAGACAAAGTGTGATGTTATGCCCTTGTCCTGACCTTGAATGCTAGCTACTCCTTAAGGAATCCGTAGGTGTCTCTAAAAAACAGGGACATAGCCACAGCTGAGGCTGGGTTGTAGATATTCCTTCAGTGGGTCTGAATAACTAGAAACACATATCGCTTGTGAAGTATCTATGTGGTTATGTATACAAGGAATACAGTTCTAGAATGTAGTCCTCAGGGGGGTGTAAGGGTTGTGTCACCTGTTAGAGCAAAGAAGATTCCTGGCTCACACATTGGACATTACCTCCACTTCACAAAGAGCAGCAGCCTCAAAGCAGAATGTGTGTGTATGTGTGTGTGTGTGTGTGTGTGTCTGCATGTGCATGTGTGTGTGTCTGCATGTGCATGTGTGTGTGTCTGTGTGTGTGTGTGTGTGTGTGTGTGTGTGTGTGTGTATGTGCCTGTGTGTGTAATGGCCTAACCTGAGAACTCATGACCACCAGTCCCATATTAAACCTACCCAACCTACTGCTAGCCTAAATTCCATAGGAAAGCAACTCCATCAGGAGAGATAGAGCAGATGAGAGGAATTCATCTTCATTTATTAAATAAAGTTCTGAATCTAGAATTATTGACTCGATCTGATATAGGTCAGGAAGAAAAGTCTGTGGTTGGGCAGCATGAAGAGGCAGGTAGATGTACAGTGGTTACTTTCTTGCCTAATACCCAGTTTTAGTTTTCCGAGGCTGAAGAGAGTCTTATAAAAGAAATTCATTTTTATCCTGAGATTCTTGGGTAAGGACTACTCTCTTCAAGGATGCAGCCGGGGTTGTATTTAAGGATCAGGTCCAACTGCCCAGTCTCAAGCCTCATGAGTTGTGTAGGGTTTGTAAATTGTCCTGGTGACTGCCTCATGAAGGAAAACATAACTTGTCGTCGAGATGGGATTTTGCAACAGTTCTCGGATTTACTAACTAACCAGAGGCCCTAATAATATGGGAGGCTCCCTTATAACGGGCACTGGAGGAGGGGTTATTAGACTATCAAGTCTGAGAAACATGTCACCAGATCATGTTTTTAAGAAATTGCCTCCTTCCGAATTCTCCAGAAACCCACATGACTGAAGACGTGACCTTCGCAGCTGCAAAGCTTCATGAAAACCAACACCCTTCACCGTGACTCACCCTGTGAGCCTAGAACCTGTGACTAGCTCTCTGTAAGCCTAGAACCTGTGACTAGCTCTCTGTGAGCCTAGAACCTGTGACTAGCTCTCTGTGAGCCTAGAACCTGTGACTAGCTCTCTGTGAGCCTAGAACCTGTGACTAGCTCTCTGT